ATATGATCATTCACTCTGCCCCAAAYGCATTATGGCAATTTTTAGTTTGTTTGAACAGAGGTTTTGGGCCAATTCTGTGTTGATATGTTGGGGGGAGGGGAGGGGGAATAGCTCTTTGGATCAGAAAGGAACAATATATTCTCAAGCTTTCTTTTGTGTTTTCTCTTTGCGTAAGAGAATCTGCTTTGAATTCGAAAATGGAGTATTGCAAGATGGAGGAAGATTACCAGTACACTTATAATGAAGTGGGTTTGTGCTTACTTTGATTCGACCAATAATTTTAACATAGCCATTCTCGTCCATTGTTGCAAGGTCACTAGAATACAGAATTTACATATTCATATTTAAATCGAAAAGATGTCTCTGTAGTTTGGATTTAGATGTTATGTAATGTTGTCGCCCTGAAGATGTGCAAAAGCYCTATGGCAAATAAACAAAATTGACTATAATATTTAAATCTACAATTATTAGTGATTCATATTTTATGTCAATCAGTTACAAGACAATAATCCTAGTACAGAATTGACAGCAATTAAATATCTAAAATATGAGGAAGTTAGAGATGCACCTGTACAGGAGGCTATAGTCAGAATAATATTAACAGTTTTTTAGATGATATATTATATCTCATATACCCAGAATGAAACCATCCACTTGCATCTATAGCTGCATCAGTTTTCTCTTTATCGTTCCAATACCCCATCATTACACAGTAGCCACGGAAACAAATCTCTCCAGGAGTACCTATTGGAACCACACGACCATCTTGATCGATAATTTTAGCCTGGAAGTGTTTGTACTCTGATTACTTTATTGATTTTCCATTGATGAAAATGACTTTGAGATTGTTCTGGAGGGCCTTAGGGCATTCAAGTAGTGGTAGTTAAGTAGATGATGAAAATGAGAAGGAAAAGAGTCGTTTACCTCTGTGTTAGGGTGAACCTTTCCAACAGTTGATACTCTCAAATCAATGGGATCATCTCTTAAAGTTTGATTTGTAATTGGACTTGTTTCAGTGAGACCATAGCAAATCTATAAATGATGCATACAAATTATTGGAAAATTAACCAATTATCATTAACTTGGGCAATGATGACGAAAGCAAAATACAAAATACATAATAATTACAGACTGATTCGAAAATTGGCAGACAGTATACCTAAACAAGAAATTATTCTAGACTCTGGCTTATACTGCAAAGCAAAGGTTTTTTCCTTGATAAGGAGCWTATGGTGCTGCATGGTGCTTATGTGCGTGTTAATATACTCACTGTTACTTCTGGCATATGAAATGTTTTATAAACAGCKTTCATAACCTCAATAGGACAAGGTGATCCACCCATCACACCTTCAAAGAATTACATATTTATTCAAGGGCACTGTAGCCTGCGTAGCCAGGCATTCCTAGCCGCTATGAGAGAGTTTCTCCGGCCCAAACTCTCTCTGAACAGCTAGGAATGCTTGGCTACACAGGCTAAGGGCACTGTAGCGGTAGACTAGTTTTTTATTTTACTGGTACCAGATGATGAAGATAATGTAAAACTATGATGAAATCACAAAACGAATTATAAATTATAAATGAAGGAAGAAATTAAAATACAGATCAAAGATTAAACAAAATGGTCATGAAGAAGCTTTACAGATAGCTTCCTGTTTCCTTTCCCTTTTTAAAGATACTGGGMTTCCTGTGTTTGGTCACTTAGAGAGCAGTACTAAGGCAAGTCCCCTCTCTTCTCTATTTTTCCAAGGATACCAAAAATTTCTTTGGAAATTCCATAAGGAACATGATTGCAAAGGAGGCTACATTGGGCACATAGGAGGGCAATAAGTGTATGTGGACTTAAAGTGCTATACTTATTGTTACTGATACTGATGATATTTTGTGTAATACCTGTGCGTAAACTTGAAAAGTCTGTCTTGGCACAGTTAGGGTGGTTTAACATGTCGATAAACATGGTTGGAGTACCATATAAAGAATTGCACCTAAACATATGATATCCATATATGAAATGCTGTACTTGACTACAGTCAAATCTACTTTAGAATTTTCACTTTTCTTGTTGAATAGCCTGAAGAGAAGCTCCTGCATCAAATGCACGTGATGGATAAACAGCTGTTATGCCATGAGTAAGAGTACAGACACTGTAACAAATATTTTAATATTAAAATACAATAATCATAATAAATAAATAATAATAGAGGTTTTTGGGCGCAATTATTATAAATCCCATGTGTGCAGACTGAATAGCAAATTGACAATTTATAGAGTCCACTTTATATTGCTCCACTTGAAAATTAAGTGTGAACAGTAAGGGCCCAAGTATAGATCTTTGTGGAATGCATATAATCCAGATTATGCAGCGTGGATGACACTTTTCCAATGTTGATAAATTTTGTGTGACCACATAGATATATTGAATAAAAGCAACTTGGGACAAAGTCTTATAAATTCAAAATAGGTGCGAAGCCATTTCAGGAGAATGTCATGCATGATCAAGCATGACAAATGCAGCTAAAAGGTCTAGCATTTCAGGTATAACATCATTCTTAATGATAGATGAGGTGACGGTTTTGTCCGCCATTTTGGACCGGTAGGCATAGTGTCGCAAAATAACAAGGAATGACCGGGAAATCGATGTCAAATAAYTCTCGCTDAWTTHAAATTYMGAAAGAATTATCATTTGCAAACGTTAGATACTGCAAAAAGGAGTTAACTGGCCAAATTTGAAAGGCGTACTTGATCTAGAGAGCGAGTAAACTCATTTTTAGTTCTCCATACATTTCTTTGTAATTTCAATACATTTCGTTATCATTTCCGGGGTCATCAGTGCGTGACGCGCGTGAAAAATACAAAGAAATGTATTGAGAACTAAAAATAAATTTTCTCGCTCCCTAGACGAAGCACATCCTTCAAATTTGGCCAGTATGCTCCTTTTTGTAGTATCTAACGTTTGCAATTGATAATTCTTTCTGAATTTGAATTCAGCGAGAATTATTTGACATCGATTTCCYGGTCATTCCTTGTTATTTTGCGACACTATGCCTACCGGTCCAAAATGGCGGACAAAACCGTCACCTCATCTATTAAGCATTATAATCTAGATATTTTTGCATATATTAAGCTTAAGTCTACCTGCCTATTACCATACCAAAGGAATGATAGAGAGGGATTGGGCAACACACTCTTGTATACTGATTCTTGGATTAAAAAAATTCAAAGAGACGTGTTAT